TCAAGAAGTGTTCTGACATACTTATATAGGAATTGTACATGAAAATGGGCTAGCTAGTTTTCCGATTGGTAATAAAAAAAGTCAGTGTTTGCAAAGTCATTAAAAAATAATCACTATTTTATGCAGAGATAAAATCTTAGACAACATAATATGCTAGATTATGGGCTCATATGTAAAAAATTTGAACTTCGCATATTATGTTGGAAGGATTTTTAAAAATATTTTTTATTCAGATTTATCTTTACCTGAAAAAATGGTTAAATTTCGATTACTTTTAAAACTATGGCTATTTTTCAGGTACAAGTTGTAAATCGAAGTTATTTCTATTTTTTGGCAATGATTAATAATCCATTACTCAAACTTTTTCTTTTTATCACCATGTTTTAATTTAACTTACAAAGTAATATTTCAAATATTGTCACATTGTACTAATTTTGATTTTGATTTCAAGAGAAACTTTAGAAGAGATTATGATAAAATTATAATTCGAATAAAAGAAAGGTGAATCGCTGGTGTAACCCTTGGTAATTACTTAAATATTATTTTAATAATAATGATATATAAAAGAAAGGCCAAATACATCGATAACCCCTAAAGTTGAGACTATTTTTCGTTTTACTCTTTAGTCCGTTCCATTTAAACACTTTAACTAACCCTTTAATGTGCCACTTAAACACTAAAATCCTGACCCATATTAAAACAAAAGCGTGTGTGTGCAAGCGTTGTCCATGTGTAATTTCAGTCCAATAAATATACGCCATGTGGATCTGTTGTCCACGTAACTTACCTAGGTACCGGGTTGACCCGTCACAAAGTTATTATACCTAAGAACTAATAACCCATCCCTATTTTTTACCTTCATCAGTCCGTAAAAGAAAGAAAACCCTAATCCGACGATTTTTCATCGGCTGAATCGCTTGTTCATACTTCCAAATCATCGGCTTCCATTCGTTTGTCTTCCTTTTGATTCTGGTAAGCAACACTTGTTGTTTATCCTCAGTTATTTGTTGTTTATTTTGGGTGCATGTTAGTAATTTGGGTTTTGAAATGCCAGACCGAAATTTCGAGTTTTTTCTCTTCTTTTTTGATGAATCCTTCTAACTTGCCTTTGTTTTATCTTGCTTCGTCTTTGTCAATGTAGGGTAAAGTATGTCTAGGGACACCTTTATTCTTGTACGCTTTCATCATGGTAGAACCTTTACCGATCCCCCAGACGCAAAATATGTCACCAATATAGAGGTGAACGAATTTTCTATTGATCATGACCACTTTTCCCTTTTGAATTTGGTTATTATATAAGGGGGCTGGGGTACCACACTATTGAATTTTTTTTTTTTATGTCTTTAACCCTAATACTAAAGAATTTGTGTTGGTGGAAAATGACGAACAATTATATAATATTGGTTGCCACTGTACTGATGTGGAATTAAATGTGTATGTTTTACATGTTATTGATGAGGTTGTTAAGACAGTTGTCCCAGCTGGCTATTTATGTGGGCCAGAAATTACTCAAGATAGTAGTGACTCATTACATAAGTCATCTAGGGAAACTAGTAAAGGTGGTCCGGATAATATAAATACAGAACAACCTCTTGAAAAGCCTCTACTTGAAGAGTCACAGGTTGGTGTTTCTGCTGAAGGTTTTTCTGCTGAAGAACCAACTGTAGAGGATGTTATTGTTGAGGAAGATGGTTCTGTTGTTGCAGAAGATGATGTTATAGGTGGTGAAAAAGGGGTTGAATCAAATATGGCTAGTAGTGAGTCTGATGTAGATGAAATTCCTGATGAGGATGATAGTGAGGTTGATGAAGAGTTGAGAGTCATAAGAAATGATAGGAGAAATAAAAAGAAGGCTAGCAGAAGAAAGAAACAACCTGAAACTGTTGGAGTATCAATAGGAGAAGCTGGAATTGATAGAGATTTTGAAGATATAGGGGTGAACAAAAGACAAAAATATGCTGGCAGATTAGGAGGTGATGTGGAATTCAAAGATAGTTCAGATACTGAAAGTGATGACACTAGTGAAGAGCTGGATGTGGACTTTAAGCCAGGTGCTGACATTCCAAGTAGAATGAAGAGCACAAAGGTTAGATATGACCCAGACTGTGTAGTTTCAATATTTGAATTGGGCATGATATTTGAGAATGCTAAGGTATTTAGGAAGGCAGTGACTGATTATGCAGTTGGGTACAAGGTTTAATTGAAACTTAGACCCAGTGAGAAGCATAGAGTAGGAGTAAGATGTAAATATAAAATATGCATATGGGAGTTGTTTGCTAGTATTGGTAGGGATTCTAATGATTTTATGGTTAAAAAATACTATCCTATTCACAAGTGTCAACCATTGAACACAAACAAGTTGTGCAATTCCAAGTAAATTGCTAACAAATTCAAAAAAGAGCTAACTGCTGCACCTTATATGAGGATCTGAAAAATTTAGAAACTTGTTAGAGAGAATTTGGGATTGTATGTAGGAAGAACAATTGCTTATAGGGTCAAACAAATAGTTCTTAGAAAGTTTATGGGGGATTAGAAGTTGGAGTTTGCTAGACTTTGGGATTATGTTGACATTATTAAAGAAACAAATCCTGATAGCTCTTGTTGGGTAGAAATTGACAGAGAATCAGACAAACTTGTTTAATTACTTTTATGTTTGTTTTGATGCCTTGAAGAAAGGTTAGCTAGAAGGTTGTAGGAAGATCATTGGCTTTGATGGGTGCTTTCTAAAAGGACATTGCAAGGGTGAATTATTGGTTGATGTAGGAAGAAATGGGAACCAACAGATGTTTCCTATTGCATGGGTTGTTGTACACCATGAGACAAAACATTCATGGAGCTGGTTCATTGGACACTTAATGAAAGATCTGCAGCTGGGATATGGTCAATGTTTAACAGTTATGTCAGACATGCAGAAGGTAAATATTTTGCTATTCTTGCTTGTTAACAGTAGTACCTTTTTATTGTTTTAATTCCTAGTATTTTATTTTGCCAATATTTTTATGTAGGGATTTTTGGCAGCTGTGAAGTACTTGCTGCCTGATGCAGAAGTTAGGATGTGTCAAGGCACATATGGTCCAATTGGTCAAATAAATGGAGGAGTGAAGAAAGAAGAAAGCAATCCTGGAAGGTTTCAAAGGCAAGCTATGTGTTTAAATACAACAAAGAAGTTGAGAACATGAGGAGACTTGGCTCACATAATATATGTGAAGACATGATGAAGTATCCAAGGGAGGCATGGTGCAAAGCTTCCTTCCAAGAATATTCCAGGTGTGACATAGTAGAGAATAACATGTGTGAGACTTTTAATTCATGGATATTGGCTGCTAGGCACAAGAGTATTATTACCTTGCTAGAAGAAATTAGGCATAAGATCATGGCTAGACATGGATTTCAGATATATCACCTATGGCTAGGCTAATATTAGAAGAGAACAAGGAGTTAGCTAGACAGTGCACAGTTATATGGAATGGTCAGGATGGATTTGAAATCAATCAGAAAGAGTTAAGGTTTGTAGTAAATACTACATTCAAGACTTGCACTTCTAAGTTGTGGAAGTTGAGAGGCATCCCATGTGAACATATAGTGTGTGCATATTATTACTTACAGCAGGATCCAGATGAACATGTGGAGCACTGGTACAAAAAGGATAAATTCCTACAGGCTTATGGGTACTTCATTCAGCCAATTCCTAACTTAGAAATGTGGCCATTGAGTAACAATCCTCCAATTGAACCACCAGCACCAAAGCCAATGCCAGGCAGACCCCAAAAGAATAGAAGAAAGGCCAAAAATAAACCAGCAAAAGAATAGGCAAACTGTCTAAAAAAGGAGTTAAAATGACTTGTTCACAATGTCATCAACTTGGCCACAACAAAAAAGGATGTCTAACAAAGGTATGAACTTCACTGCATTTTCTTGAAAATTTCACTGCATGTTAACTTCACTGCATTTTCTTGAACTTCACTGTATTTTCTGTAACTTACTGCATTTCTGTAACTTCACAACATGTTCACCATACTTTTTTATTTTAAAGTGGCTCTGAAGAGTCTTCAGCTACTGGTGGAAGAGGCAGAGGAAAGGGTAATGCTACACCAACTGGTGCAACTGCTGGGGGAAGTGACAATGGTACCCAAACAAGTGTAGTGACTGAAGGAAGTGGCAATGGTACCCAAACAAGTGCAGTAACTGGAGGAAGTGACAATGGTACCCAAACAAGTGCAGTAACTGGAGGAAGTGACAATGGTACCCAAACAAGTGCAACTACTGGAGGAAGGGCAAGGGAATGGGCAGTGAAAAAGCAAGTAGTACAACAATTAGACCTACCAAGGATGTATTCCGAGATGCTATTCCTCAAACTGTTCCTAGAGGAAGGGGTACAATACCAAGAGGAAGAGAAACTTCAACTGGTATGAAAATGGGATCTTCAACTGGATCTTCACCTGCTGCTGGACAAAAAAAGCCAAGACATGTTGGATTTGGATGCTACACTAACCCGGAGACTGGAAGAACAGTCCTCAATGTAAGTACAATTCACAAATTTAGTTATGTTACTCTTTGACTTTCCCTATCTAATATTACAGACTTTATACATTTCCAGCCTAGTACTACTGGTAAAAGGGTTATCAACCATGGGAGTAGGTTGAGTAGTACCACAAATGTGCAACTAAGTGATGAAATTAGGCTACCAAGATTAAGATGGAATGGAGGAGATACAATTACTACTTCCTAACTTCAGCAAATGAGTGCAAGTCGAAGAAACAAAGTTGGACTACCCACAAATCAACAACCACCACAAAAAGTTGCAACTCAAGTGATCATGGATAAATTTGCCAAGAAATAGTTTCAGTGACTTGGATTTTGTAGTTGACAGTCTTTAGTTTGCAACAATTTGTACTGTAATAGCAATATGGATTCTATAGTGACTTGGATTGCAGCAGGTAGTTTTCAGTGACTTGCCAAGAATCTACTGTATTTTGTTGAACCTCATTTTGCCATAATGGTTACGCTGCTCCAATGTTGCACAAACCCTTAAGAATTGAGCTATAGCTAATTGGGTTAGGCTTGATGTTATTATCTTGCATATCCTGAATAAAACACAATGCTCTATCAATACTGTCGAATTTGCAGAACCCACCGATTAGAATGATATAGCTACAGACATCTGGTGTTATTCCAAAACTCCTCATTTCTTCGAAAACGCTTATAGCTTTACTTACTTCACCTTCAGCAAAGTATCCGTGAATAATAGCATTATAGCAGTAAGAATTCAGTGGTTGGTTCTCATACCTCAGCTTCCGAATGAATTTCCAAGCAACATCAGGGCATCCAATTCTACAAAGTCCATGGACCCATACACTATATGTTGCAGTAGAAAGGCTGACTTGCTTTTCCCACATTTCTTTCAGAATTTTATAGGCTTCTTTTATATCTACGCCGGTCTGTTGCCCTGGATAATATGTGCAGTAGAAGTTCATCATGATTGTGTATGTCCTCACATTAGGTGATGGTCCAAATTTCTTCATTGCCTCAAATAGAGTTACAAGATTCTCCTTTTGGCTTGCTTCTGCCAAGCATTTCAGTAAGAAATTACATGAATAAATGCTCGGTTTAAGCCCTATTTTCTTGACCTGATTAACAACATCAATAACATGATCAAGCAGTTTAGTTGCAGCAAACACCTTGACTAGTTCATCAGCTAGAACAGTTGAACTTGTAGCATTATTAGGTGACGAATGCAGAGCAAAATGGAATACATTACGCAAGTCAATACCAGTGTTCTCAAAGTTGAAAACAATATCTTTGAGCAAAGCATACACTTCCCTATCCATCCGTGCCAACACAAAAATATGTACCATCGCGCTAAAGGCATTTATCGAATGAGACAAGCCATACTTTTTCATAGCTTTTTTAAAAGGGATTTCTTTTGCAACTTCCCAACTCAAAGACTTGCATACTCTCACTATAACTGAATAAAGCTTGCGACCTTTGCAACTATGTGATCTTCTTATCGGAATAACAGCTTTATCAGAATCATACAATAACTGTACTGAAGAAGCACCATAATACTTTCTGTAAAGGCTTCTTTCTAAACCCAATTCATGTAAATGGTTGAATAACAGGTTGAAGGAAGAATTTCTTGGTAACAAACCTAGACCCATAGAAGAAAAACTTGACTACCCAAACAATTATACAGAGTCAAAATTATCACAAACAACCCAAGAAAAATGTTCCATTTTTTCTTTGTTAGAGTAAAGGTCACACCTTTCTTCAAAATTTCAACACCCATCTAACAAAAATAATAATATATAATCCCTAGGCAAGCTCCAATGGTCAAAATCTAAGCTTTATTGCGAAATTCAAGCAATCTTGGAAGAGGGAAACACAAGAATTAATACTAGAGCTAAATTCGATGACCCAAACTGGAAAAGATTGGAACAGTTCGCCTCAGCAATTTCAGTTTGACCGAGGAAGGTTGAACAGTAGCCAAAGATTTTGAAAATAAGCCATCTTCTGCAAGAGAAAGCCAAGACACCAGTTTGAGGTCATCTGTCTTCTTCTTCTTCTTCTCACGGCGGCTCAAAGCATAAGCCAGTATAGTGCTTTAGGAACCCTTAATAGTAGGCTATAGGTTAATTTTCCTTTTTAGGAATTTTTCCTTGAATGGAATGATGAATATTCTTCGAAAAATAAAGGTCAGGGGGTGATTTATTCCTTGTGTTTTGTAGTTTTGTTGCTTTTCTTAACTTTGTATGGTTTGCAACAGTTTCTGGATTGACATGCTTTCTTCGGGGTTTTTCTTGGATGCAGGTACTGTTTATCAGGCAAGAAACCTGATTGTACTGGTACTTTTACAACTTTAACAAATAACTTGTTACATAGCTAGTTTTCTTTTAGGCCAAATAGATCGACACCACCGGTAGACCACTTTCCACTGTACTACCTATAGTTTAGTTTGTTTCATTTAAACACTTTAACCAACCCTCCAACCTTTTAATGTATAAGTTAAACACTAAAATTTCAGGAGGCACTTCACGTGTGAATCACATAAATCTGGGTGCAAAGTTGACCAACGTGCTTACAACATCTTAATTACTGGATTTTGTGCTCAAGGAGATCTGAGTTCAGCCCATGAGCTACTGGAGGAGATGATCAGCAGTGACTTGTCTTCAGATGCTTCAATTTTTAAGAGATTAATTCTTGATTCCTGCTACATGGGGTCTGTCTATACAGCGTTGAAGTACCGAAATATGATGGTACGAGAAGGTTTCCTTCCTGATACCGTTACCTGCCATTTTATTGTTAAGCAGTACTGTACTGAAGGGCGTGGGATAGAAGCTTTGCACCTGATTGATGAAATGATGGATCAAGGCATTGTCCCCGACTTGTATACCTATAATGTAGTCATTGACCACTTGTGCAAAGATGAAAACACAGAAGAGAAAGAAGGGCGTTTGTGTTGAGGTTTTATTTTAAGATGTAATATTCTTAAAATGAGGGGGAATGAGAAATGGAGGGAAAATGAAATTTTGAGTAAAATTTTAAGTTTCCCCCTCTTAACAATGAAACATTGTCCCATATTGGAAGTGGAAGACATTTTTGGTGGGTATATATATAATTGCTCTTCTTGTAGCTCTTAAAGAGTTAAGAAGAAAGCAAGCCTCGCGCCGTCGTCGTTCGCTCGGCTCGGATTCGGATTCGGTCAAATGATCGATCGATTGATTAATTTTTTGGACCAAATTTATTTGTTAATAGTAAATATTAACGTAAATGGTCTTGCACTCCTTCTTGATATTTTCCAATCCGTGTATTGATAATTTGGCAGCCGGATAATGGTCTTCCCACCATGAAGTGCTTGCTCCACAAACATGTAATGCTTGCTCCACCATGAAGGGTGGACGTTTGGTCTTGCACTCCTTCTTGGCTGCTATATATATGAGCAGCAAATGTTGAAGAAAGATACTCAACTCAACATACAATTCGCTCAACAAATTGGCTATACATTGCATTCCTTCCTCTCAGAACTTCCATACGTTTTTCTGAGTATATACTCCTTCGTTCTGCATTGTTTTTTAACTTCAAACAAAGCAACTGTAAGTGTGATTTGCTACCGAACTTTGTGTTCGCCGAAACACTGGGGTTTGAAGTACCGCTACACCAGTGTGTTATTCGTTCTATCCTGGGAGGAAATAATCCATTACCTTGGGTACTAGGAGGGGATTAAATTCCTTAAGGAAACACTGTGAATTCAGTGGGCTCGAATTTATTATTATTGTTTCATTACGTTAACTTATATTTTGCAGAATTAATATTTACAAATACAGCAATATTGACCGGGAATAACAGTTTGCAGGAAGCTTTGCATCTAATTGATGAAATGGTGGACCAAGGGATCGTCCCAGACTTGTATACCTATAATGTAGTCATTCAACAGTTGTGCAAAGATATAAACCCAAAGAAAGCGTTGGAGTTAATCACGGTGATGCTTAAGAGGGACATGTTTCCCAATGTTATGATTCTTAATACTCTTATTGATGGATTTGTTAAGCAGTCCAATTTTAAGAAGGCTGGTATGTTTTATTGGGGAATGCTAAAACTTGAGATTGCTCCTGACATCACCACGTACACAATTCTTATTGACATGTTATGCAAGCGGGGAAAAGTGAGAAAGGACTACAGACGGAGAAAAGTGAAAAAAGCCTACAAATTATTTAGGAAAATGATCAGGGAGGGTATGAATCCCGATAACATCTGTTACACCTCCATGATCGCTGGCTTTTGTGAAATTGAAGATGTGAACAAGGCTTGTGCTTTGTTCCGCGACATGCAAAAAAGAGAACTCTTGCCTACTGTTGTTACCTATACTTGCCTCATTGATGCATTTAGCAAGTTAGATCAGATGGACGAGGCCAAGAAGTTGCTAAAAATGATGGTAAGACAAAATATTTCTCCTGATGTCAAGACTTATAGTTGCCTCATTGATAAATTTTGCAAGTTACATCGAATGGATGAGGCCGAGAGGTTGTTGGATAGAATGAGAAAAGAGAACATCTCTCCTGATGTCATCACTTATAAAATAATGATTCTGGGATATGAAATGGTTGGAAATACTGATCTAGCTTATGATATGACTGATGAGATGCAGAGAGTATTTAACATTCCGAACGACAGTATTTGACATTATTTTCTTTGCATTGTTAAAGTAAACATGGTCAGTGAGGAGTCATATAGTTGATTCCAGCTTTGATGGGACGGGGCAATTGTTGTTGTATTCTTAAACTTAAAACAGAATTTTGCTTTCTTGACAAGCTGGTACATGTCATTATTTTTGTATATTTATTTTGTTGTTTATATGGAATGTTTTCTAGAGTAATCAATATCAGGGGACATCTTCCTGTTTTGTCAATTCAAAACCCACAATAGAATAGTACTACTTTCTGAGATGATTTGATAATTGGTCAATTGACTGCATTGTGTTAAGCTATATTATGGACGATTAGACTGAATAGTCTCTTGGTCCTGTTCTCATTTAAGTTATCTTAATTCTACTGTTGCATTTTTATTAAGAAATTTGTGTTTCCTATTTGAAAGTTTCAAAAGATACATACTCCAAAAAAGAATGTTTATTCTCTTTTTAAATCAAATTCGTGAATAAAGATTTTCAACAAAAATATATTCCTTTTTTGAATTTCATAAAAAATAAATAGATAAAGCTTTTTAATTATAATTTAATTAAATTTGAGTCATATCATAGGGTGTTTAGTGTAATTAACCATTAAAATATTTGGAAAGCATAAATCCATATATTGAATGCAATTTGTAAAACTCATTACTTGAACTACAAAATACAGTCGCTAATACAAACACTTCCCCCTCCACTATCAGAGTCCTTAGCTGCCGCCGCCGCCGCCGATGTATTCCGCCATTTTTGACGGCGAATGAAGTAATGTCGGCTGATAACCTACGTTCAACCTCCAATTCCTTCACGGCTTCGTGGTACTCTTACAGTTACTCAACCTTCTTAACAACTGTTACAATGGGGGATACCCAAAAGACTCTTCTTTTGCTTTAAGTCCTGGTACTGGTAGTACTATGGCGCTGTGTTACATACATTCGGAATATTTCGTCTTTTTAAAAAAATTGAACAATTCAAAGTAATTCAGCTTGTTGGCGAGCAAATCAGATGGACTCAACAACAGACCCACGGTGCGTACATGCACGCGCCATCACAACTGGCGCGGCGAAAGCGAACCGTGCAGTCCTCAACAACCTCATCACTCTATACTCCAAATCCAATCTCCCTTCACACGCCGTCCGTGTTTTCCAGGCAATCCCATCACCCAATGTCGTTTCATTTACAGCGCTTCTCACATCCGCATTCTCCAACTCCCCACTCTCCGCCTTTCATCATTTCATTTCCATGCTTCGCCGTCAAATCCTCCCCAATGGCCATACTTTAACCTCCCTTCTCAAAACTTGCGCTTCTCTTCCTGCACTCACCTTCGGGCTACAACTCCATTCCCTTGCTATCAAATTGGGTTTCTCTTCAGAGCCGTTTACGGCTTCAGCTCTTGTGTCGTTGTACTTTAAAACTGGGTTGTCGTGTAATGCGAAAAGGGTGTTCGATGAAATGTCTGTGAGAGATGAGGTTTGTTTCTCGTCGGTTATTGTCGGGCTTGCTCGGAACTCCAAGCCTATTGATGCTTTGTCGTGCTTTGTTGAAATGCGGAGGAGTGGTGTGGCATCTACTATGGTTAGTGTTTCCGGGGCTCTGCGGGCGGCTTCTGATGTTGCTATGCTGGAACAGTGTAGGATTATTCATGGGCACGCGATGGTAACGGGGCTTAATTTGAATGTCATTGTAGGCAGTGCATTGGTTGATGGGTATGGGAAATGTGGGCTTCTGAGGAACGCTCGTGGAGTGTTTGATGAGCTAGAAATGGAACTCAATATTGTCGGGTGGAACGCAATGATGGCAGGGCATGCTCAACAAGGTGAACATGGCAATGTCATAGAACTTTTCACTTTGATGGAAGAACGAGGAATGGTGCCGGATGAGTACAGTTTCTTAGCTATCTTGACAGCATTTTACAATGCAGGTTTAGTTGAAGAGACAGAGATATGGTTCAGGAGGATGACGGAAGAATATAGCATGGAGCCGTGTCTTGAGCACTATACGTGTTTGGTAGGTGCATTGGGGAAAGCAGGGCGTCTGGAGAAGGCAGAGCGGATTGCTTTAACCATGCCTTTTAAGCCGGATGCAGCTTTATGGCGAGTATTATTGTCTAAATGTGCCTATCACGTGAATATGGATATTGCGTGGAGGATGAGTGATAGGTTGTTGCAAATTAACCCAATGGATGATTCAGCTTATGTGATTTTGGCAAATGCATATGCGAGTGCAGGGAGGTGGGATGAGGTGAGGGAGGTGTGGAAGAGAATGAAGGATAAGAAAGTGAGAAAGGAAGGTGGGAAGAGTTGGATTGAAACGCAGGGAGAGGTTCATGTGTTTTTAGCTGGTGATAAAAGGCACGAGAGGACTGATGAGATTTATGCTAAGTTAGCATATTTAATGGAAGAGATTGAGAAATTGGGTTATGTGCCCGTATGGGCTGAAATGTTGCATGAAGTAGAAGAGAAGGAAAAGAAGAAGGCACTTTGGTATCACAGTGAGAAGTTGGCATTGGCATTTGGGTTGTTGAATGGGACAGCACCACCTGGGAAAGCTTTGCGGATTGTGAAGAATTTGAGAATTTGCAGGGATTGTCACGAGGCATTTAAGTATATTAGTAAACTTGTTGAGAGAGAGATTATAGTGAGGGATGTCAACAGATACCACAGGTTCTTGAATGGAAGCTGCAATTGTGGAGATCAATGGTAACTTATTGAGAGGAAATCTGAGTAAGGATCTCTGCTGAGGAAGCAACAGCAACCGCCAGAATGCACTTAGTACTCTCATGAATCATCTCTTACATCTCCAGCTTTTAGTATTCGTGATACAGTGTGGATCTTGATTTGGCAATACTACCAAAAGTAGCACTGGCAATACAGTGTGGATCTTGATCATGAATCTCAGCCCGTATTGCAAATGAACTTGAGGTTGGGAGAAAGTTAAGGCGCAGATTTCGGAGCTTGAAAAAAAGTTTGGCAAAGAGTTGTCGGATACAAAAGCATATTTCATGAAGGCAGTGAAATAGCTTGAAAGCGAGAAGAGAGCAAGTGAAGTAATGGAACAGATATGTGATGAATTAGCTAGAGACATTGGTGAAGACCGAGCTGAAGAAGAAGCAATAAAGAGGGAATCTTTAAAAGTTGAAGAGCAGATTGAACATGAAATATATAGATGCTCCAGTTCGCTAACAGATTGCGTGGGGAAATGAATCCCATGAAACTCTCAGATGCCAAGAATCAGTTTGAGGAGATAAATTCTGCTATTGACAAGCTAAGGGAACAACATAAAGCATTCCTGATAAAGAAAAAGGCCAAAGGAAGGGGAAATGGCTCTTCTGCTCCAATTAATTTAGGCAAGTCAAGGTTGAATGTTGGAGAACTGTGCCTGAGTCTTCTTTTAGTTGTGTTCTGCTTTTGCACTTACCAACAGATTAACTTCCGTAATTTTACATCATAACCTGCTTTGTTTGCAATTACTGTCACTCATAGTCCATGTTCAGGGCATAAAGTTCAGTATAGCAGTAAGCACGTTTTCGTTTTGAAAACTCTGTTGATTCAAGCCTTTGCACTATGCCATATCTCAATAACCTTCTGTACTTTTCAGAAGTGAGTGTATAATTCAACAGCAATTGCATAGCTGTGGTGAAGAGGCCGTACATAAGTGTTATTACTTGAGTAATGACAATGTGCATGGGGTCCTTGCTTTCTCCAGTTCAAGCTGATCAAAGTCAAAAGAGTGAGAAGAAAAGTGATACTACTAATATTGTGTAGTGAAAAACAAGATGATGTGTAGTGGATCAGTGATGATATTTTCTTGGGAAACTTAAACAAATGTCCCAAATAAGTCTCAACTTAGACTTACCAAAACTAGCCAAACACATAAAAATTGAAAAACCAAATAAATAAGGTCTTCCTCTCAAAGAACTACATGCAAAAATCACCTTCCATATTTTTAAGCGTGATTAGCAACATTAGGTGCAAGACATAAAGAAAATTTCATGGATAAGGTAGCAAATAAGGTGATGAAATACAAAAAACAAAATACAATATTCCAAAAATCTAAGCAAAAAAGGAACTTTTTCAATGGGTATAGTTGAAATTCATTGAAAACATATAGATAAGTCAATATACAAAATTTGAGGAGGATTAGAGGTGATTTCTACTGGTTTTGCATCAAAATTCGTAATTAAATCGAGTTCAAAAATTCTTCTGCGACACATGTATCACGCATGTATCTCACACACATGTATACATGGATATACATGTGATATACAATTGATACAAATATGATACATATGTGATACACAAATGATACACAGTGTGATACACATATCATTTTTTTTATGTTCAGTTTTTACTTCGAATTTTCAATTCAAACAACCTCAAAACTTTACCAAATCATCCCAAAACTGAGATTCAAACTCCTTAAAATGTACCCAATATATTATAATAACACCCACTCAAAAGAAAGCAAAAATTTAATTTTTTTTTTGCTACAAATAACTAATTGGCTAATATTAGTAATATTTTATGAATTGGTCAATTTTTATAATGAGATACTTATAAATGGACATAGCGGGTAGTTTCCCTATTTTCTTCCAAATAATAAGAGCATCAAAGCGTTTAGATGAAAAATGGAAAAAGGGCCCAATTGATGGTCTACAGTACCATAGTCAGCCATATAATCATAAATCGCATGAGATAATATCACTGTACATTCGAATATCATGAAAAACACATGTAAATTGCATGGAAGACAAACTCATGAATTGCGTGGAAAACTCCACTAGTACGGTCGGAAAAAGACCATTGAAAATGCTCACTCGATCCTCGTCTGCTAACAACAGCTTACCTAAATTGTGCAAGTTAGGATTTTAGCAAATATTAAGCAAATTCATTGGGCAATCAATGCATTTTTCATTCAACCAATTTCAAAGTAGTTAGCAGCTGATATATATTAATGCAAATCTAGTTCGTAATATTTCATTCGGCAGAACCCAATTTGGCTATACCCTATATTTGTGTTAAAGAAATTTACTTAACACGTGTAAATAATTTATCAAAATCCAGTAAGCAAATGACGTTGTGGTCCAAAACCAATAAACATGTATTTCTCGATCCACATATGATCATAATAAATTACTTTTAGCTCGTCTAGCCCCGTTTAAATTGTGTAACTAAACTAATTCATGATTATTTTTAATGCAGACCTTCAGTGAAAAGCATAATTGACAACATTTTATTTTCTTATTACAGGAAATTAGTAGCCTGTTCGAGCTATGAACTTGTTAAATCATTTTAACAATAACTACGAGGGCAAAATCAAAGAATACTATTCAAATGAGGTTGGTAGGAGTTAAAACTAACACCTAATGACTTCTTTTGCATTTTCTTGTTTGACGAGAACACCCAATGACTTTAAATTAGTTAGTCCTTATTTTTAATCATTTTTGTAAGTTCTTATCACGTTCATAGATTCTCCTTGAAAGAATAAAAGAATAATAAAAAAGGTAATTAACATTAAATAAATGCGGTGTTCCCCGAAGTTTCGCACTTCAAGTCTTCACTGCCGAATCTTTATTTATTTCCTAAACAAGAATAATAAATAAATGCCACGGTCTTATTACTCCGTCATAATTTGTATAACATTCTTTCTTATTAGTTCATTTAATATATATATATATATATATATATATATAATCTTTTTAAATTTGAAAAATAATTAAATTTCAAAATTTCTCATTTTGTCTTTAATGAATTTTTTTATTAATGTAAAAATATATACTAGTAATAATTAATTATAATTAAGTGAAAATATTTTTTATAATCATGCTTAACCAATTTATTAATGTAAAATATATACTAGTAATAATTAATTATAATTAAGTGAAAAACTACCTATAAATACATGACACATATCTATTAGTTTGTTATAAATTTTTATGTAAATATATTTTTATTGGATAAAACTAGGTCATACAAACTGACAAGGAAAAAGTAATAAAATATACTTCCTCTATTTATTTTTAGTTGTCCACTTTTGACTTTGCACTCCCTTTTAAAAAAATATAATTTACCCACAATAATAATAACATTTTAAAAGTATTAAGAAATGATTTGGAGAATGAATAGTTAATGATAAGGGTTAAATAAGAAATTTTTTAATATCTTTCTTTTGATTTGCTGATATTTGATAAGTAAAAGTGAAAATATATTTTTAGGGAGGGAATAGATCTATCTATATTTATTATATTAAAAGGAGGGTAGTGAAGTATGAGGTTAAGCCAAGTGACATGTTGAGAAAATGCCGCCGGCACTTTTAAGACATAACCTAAAAATATTTTAGACAAATCTAATAAAGATTAAGACAAGATTTGATCAAATTTAATTTACATAGTTATTAGATTGTCTTTGACTGGATATCATTTTAATTTGGTTACTCCCTCCGTTTTAATTTATGTGAACCCATTTGACTGGGCACATAGTTTAAGAAAAGAAAGAAGACTTTTGAACTTGTGGTGTAAAATGAGGCACATATATTTTGTGTGGCTATAAATCGTTGCATAAAGGTAAATTATTTTCAAATAAGGAAAAATGTCATTCTTTTTGGCTCAGACTAAAAATGAAATAGGTTCACATAAATTGAAATGGAGGGAGTATAAGGTTTTGTACGTTTTGGGTTATTATGTAAGGAAACAATGATTTAGTTTGAGTTATCAAAAGACAATTATCGACCCATATAATTTTCTCATTAATGCTACATTAAATAATATAATAAAGCAAGTAAACAATTAATACTCAAAATTTTATTTGTAAGTTTAAACACTATAGAATGAATATTAAAAATAAATGGAAATTTTATTTTAAAAGAAAGAAAACCCATATTCATCTATATATAATATATTATAACAGAAATATCAAACAAAGGTATGAAGTAAGTAGCAAGCTAATAAAAAATCACATAAATAGTGTGACAATATTAAACAATGGATAACGCAATAACTCTTTTAAATTTTGCCTCGAAATTCTAGAATTTAAGATAAAAAATTAATTACCGACATAAAAATAGATTATAATAATAGTCTATATACGTTTTGTCTATTTATTTTGTTAAACCAAATGACTCAAAACTTATCCAAGCTTTTGAATTGGAAAAGAAAAAAAATACCTTGAGATTTCGGTAAAGTTTATATGCACTTTTATTTTTTTTGTGTATTATTGGATTAAAACTAGATTAAATCATTATATAAATTTCTATAGTAGGGAAAATAATATAGAAAGAGGGAGGTGGAGATAGTGTGAGAAAATATATAATTTGCGTTCATTTTAAAAAATAAAATAAAGATAATAAATAAATAATAATTAAAAGTATTATCGATCCAAGCAATAGAATAGAAAAATAAAAGTAAATAAAAAATTTATTAAAAAAACCAAAGTCATCTATACTATATTATAATGGGAGTACCGGAGGATATGCACAATGCTAAGTTATAGGTAACTTAATAACATGGATGAGGAACCAAAAGAAGAAGAAAAATATGTAAATAAATAACTTCAATGTTGAGATATATAAAAGGATGAATAATAATTCATATGGTCATGCATTATGGATAAAATTATGTAACTAAAAATATTATTTTAGATAAAATTAAAATAAAAAATATAGACAATTGGCATAATTCTAAAAAAACAAATAAAAATATAAAGATATAATTTAAAATTTTATGTAGAAATTTCAATAATAAATTAAAAGTCAAACTTTCATATTAAATATAAAAAGGAAGTAGAATTTAATTTAATTGCTTATTGAAAATGATACTAAAATAATAATTATTATAGTTATTAGTAGATTTATATAATAAAAGAACTTTTCTGTTTAAACTTTAAACAAA